CGGGAAAAAGGGGGGCCTGGGGGGGGGGGGGGGGGGCATGCTTCCTCTTGACATAGTCAAAGAGCGCCGAATGTAGGCCGCTACAACAAAAAATATTTGCCTGTTGGCATTAAACGCTGTAAAATGGAACGAAAGCGAGACAAGCTCATGCTTTCGTACAACTTTCAAATTTTTCGAGACACTTGTAACACTTTCCCACGATGGTTCCAACGTTTGCGCCAACTCCGCATCTCTTGGACTTGGACCGAGTAACAACTGCATTCGTGTACCGTAAGAGTCGGAGAGTTGGCACCGGGTGCGATCGTTTTTTTAAATGTTTTTTCCTAGGGTTTTTTAATAGCACCCCGGTGCCATCTCTCCGACCCCGGTGCGGAAATGCAATTAAATCATTTCGTTTGGAATTTTCAAGGCACTCCGTTGCGATCTCTCCGACCGGTGCGATCCACGATGAAATGCACACAGGTGTTATATGCACGCACCCCGGTGCCATCTCCCCGACCATTTCCATAGTATTGAGGGACCAGTGTAGGTACCCACGCACGCACACGGTCTTCTGCACACACACGCATATCTCAGCCGGAAAAAAGGCCGTTGTTGTTGGTGGAAGCACACCGATAACGGCAACGAAGGCTGGCACGTAACAGCTTTCCATGCAGCGAGCGGTCTTGTGTATGATGCGAGTTTGGCTATGGCGTGACAACAACAAACGATTTCGTTTCCATCTGAGGTACCAGTACACACACGGTATCAATTGTTTCCCGCTTTCATTGTTCTACAGATACCAGTACGTACGCACAAGTACAATAGCTTCGGGTTGTGTAAGGTGGGGTAGGGTGCTGCTTGTACGTTGTGTGTTTGGCTGAGTGTTGGTTGGCAACTTCCATACCAATAAAAATATGAAAACAACTGGCATGCCGCGTGAACCGCGACGATCCAATCGTACGTAAAGGAGTGGCGCTGCGCTGACTCCGCCCCCACGTGTAAAAGGTACGCACATTTACCTCATTCCGGCAGCTGAAAAGGATTTCAATCTTGGATTCGGGGGTCGGAGAGATCGCACCGGGTGCGATCTCACCGACCCCGGTGCGTAAATCGAATTAAATGTTCTTTTCTCGTTGCATTTATCGCACCCCGGTGCCATCTCTCCGACCGGTGCCACCTCTCCGGCCGGTGCCAACTCTCCGACTCTTACGGTATTTGTCTTACGAGTGCTCACACGCACAGCAGTATATCTCGATGCGCACACGGTCCGAAAAGAAAAGAGTGGCAGCCTGGCAAAAACCTGTGGGTGGTGCCTGGGTCTCACCTTGAGCCCTTCCCCCGGTTCGATGCGCTGGAACTGTTGGTGCGCCGTGAGGCGGGGTCCTATTGGCACCATCGCCGCGCTCGTATAAGCCAGGTCCCACTCACCCTGAGGGATAGAGATAAAATGAAAACGTATTTGGTGCCGGCTGCTGTCCACATGCTGTTGTGCGGTACAGTATACGGCAGGGTTCAATATTTTCTTGTTCTAGGGCGCACTAAGGTTGGAGAGACAACCTTACCCACGCGCGCGGTGTTTTGCGTTTTGGAAGTCGGGTGTGTGGGTTGTTTCTGCATAAGACGATCGTCGTGGGGTTCTTGCGTTCCATCAGCCGCGGAAGCACGAGGGGCTACCACAGGACGAGCTTTGTAGGAGAAGGGAGGAGGAGAAAAATGGTGCAATAGAAGGGAGAGGAGAGATATGTTGCCAATAGAACAGCGAATTCGGAGTCAATCTTCTGGTATCCAGAGAGCAGCGATGCAGTCGATCGTTATCGTTACCTGAAACGATCGATCGTATATAACAGCAGCGAAAAGTCCAGCGAAAAACCTGGAAATGTGACGTTCTCTGTTACACCAGTCATCTCACCGCAGCTTGTGTACAACCACATTTGACCCAGCAACTCAAATACGAGCTGCAGAGAAAGTTCCGAGAGGACCCTCAGAATGGTTCGGCAAGCAACTGTATCCTCCGTGTGGGAGCTAAATCGAGGACACCTCGCAGCAGCATACACTTTCATACAAGAGCAAGACCGCATTCAGTGCACACAGGTGCGATGCAGCTGTGCATTAACGTTTCGAAATCTGAACCAACCACGACGATGGTACTTGTAAGAATGGTTGGTGTAGTTTTCAAAATTTCGACCCTGCTGGCCTCCATATCTGCTTCATCTGCACATGTGCTCTTGCAAGACGGATCTGAGGCGAATTTGAAGCTGGATTTCTCCCCCAACAGCAGCACCGCACAAACGCAAAAAAACAAAAAAATGTGGAGATCATCTTCATAATAAAGGTTACAACGTCTGTCGAGGACGATTCTTTCCACGTAAAGGGTGAGCGACAAATGTCTGCTTTTGGTGGAAGAAAACCTGGGTTCGAAACCGCCACCCGCCGTCTCTATTTCCAAAAACTGGAAACAAATGGTACATGTAGGCAAATGTAGGGACCAAACACAGTTTGGTTGTTTTTTTTCGAACTCGCGGAACTTGTAAGAAAAAGAAGGTGACGTGGCGGACGTGGCGAACTCGTGTCGTCACTCGCCGTCAGCCGGTCGGGTTCCGGTTACTCTGTATTGTAGAAGCCTTCTTGGAGTATTTAGCAACCAAGATGACTCAAAAAGGGGGTAGTAATGTGGAGGTCACCTTCATAAAGGCTGCAATGTCACAACGTCTGTCGAGGACGATTCCCTCTTTCCACAGAAAAAGGCGAGTAAACCCGACCGTTAGCGCTGTTCGGGTAAAAGCCCTCTCGAAACGCCGTTCGCTACCGGTACGTACGGGGGCGGTGGTATTTTTCGTCACGAAACATGCGGCATGTTTTTTTTCAGATTGCTGCTTCTCCTCCTCACCTGAGCAGCAAAGTTGAAGAACCCGACCGTGTGAATAGGCTTGTAGGTCCCTTCCAGCACCTCCACCAGGTACCCCACGCGGGCCTCCTCGAGCCTCGGCCGTTCCGCCCCCGGGTGTTCCGTGGGGAAACCCACACGTCCGAGCAGCTCCGTCTTGGCCTCTTCGATCGATCCGACCTGTTTGCGCGTGGTTGTCTCCAAGACAGACTCCAGAAAGACGGAGTGAACAGTCTCTGCCACCGACGAAGCGGGCGTTGAGGAAGCCAAAGCCATACGGTGGTGAGCATGAGGGCCAACAGTAGTTCCTCTGGTGGGGAGCGTGGTCACGAAGGAGACGCCAGGCCCAAGAAGGCCTGAGATGGCCGCGCCGACCATGGCCGCCCGGCCACGCCAACACCGCTCATCCCTCATGTTTCGAACCAATCAACAATAATCCTGTTGGAGAGGGGAGATGTCCTGGTCGAAGGGGCTGTCGAAAACAGCAAAGCCTGACGTCAGCGTACGCGAGTGCGGCCTCAACACACGAGTGCAATGCAGTGGAAACAACAAGTGAGCCAGCGCACGTGCGCACCCGGTACGCAACGCGTGTGCGCGTGTGCGTGTTCTTGAGTCACCAAAACTAGGGAACGAAAACGCCTCGAGAACCAAATTTGGCGTTTCGGCGAGCTCCCGGACCTGTGCTCTGCGCATCTGCGCATCTGCGCATGTTCGCCGCTTCTCCTTGTCCGCTATCCACCGCTCTCGTTCCGTCTGCCTCTCTCTGTAGATCACGCAGGGCATTTAGGTCGCGCAGAGCTGAAAACATGGAGCCCCTGACGTCCATGCCGAACCTGCCTCACTTTCGCGCCAACAAGCCTAAGCTGAGAGGACGGGGAGGCGACTTCAGGTTTACGGAAGGAACCCCATTCTTCGAGCAGGTATTATAGTCAATATAAATCTCTCACGTACTTGAGGAACATGTGTGCGGAGTCCACATGCATGCACGAAGCCCTCCGCGTGCTGTTTATCCCTCGCAGCAGCTGTTCCTAGAGAAAAATACCACCCTCACACGGAAAACGACAAAGGGAGGGTTCGGAGCACACAATGGTTTTCGGCGTAAACACGCCGCTCGCGGGTTGAAGCCCGCAAGTGACGCCGCAATTTGTTCTTACGTAAAGGTCGTGAATTGCCAAACCAATGTTAACCCCGGTCGGATACACAGCAGAACAGTGGCCTTTAATTTGAAAATCGAACCGCTGACCTCGATGCTAGGCTTGCTGTAACTGCACTTTTTAGTCAGCAGGACCCGCAGCTTCATGTATATACGTCACCACCTTGTGCCATTTTCTACGCACGTCGTACATGTACCTGGCTGTTTGTTCTCAACAAGGTCCCACAGCAGCAAGTACTCCTGGCGCTGCAGCACAAGACGGCTTCCACCTCGCTCGGCATCCGTCGAGGAACGGCGCCCACGACGGGAAGATCACAGCCCCTCCTGGGCGCTGGAGCAGGGGCGCCCACGGCCGGCTTCGTGACAAACTCCGGCCTCGTGCTGCAGTTCGACGCGTATTTCAAGGAGGCGGTGGACGAGTCGCCGCTGGAGAACCACCGTGTTCGAAAATGCAAGATCTTGGTCTACCTGGAGGACTCGTCGGTGCAGATCGACGAGTACCGACAGGAAAACAGCGGGATGCCCCAGGGGACGTTGGTCAAGCGACATCAAATACCCTACCCTGAGGTGCGAGCAATGCTGAAGAAGTTCAGCAGCCTGTCGAGGTACGAGGTATTGGTTAGGAGTTGTTTTTGCACAATACTTCTGTTATCCTCTCTTTCTTTCACATACCTTTCTTCTTACCATATCATTGCAGAATTTTCCTTCGTATCTTCACGCACGGCATGCCCTCCCGCGGCTGGTGCAGCCAAAAACCCTCCCCCTTTTCCTCCTCTCTCCCGTGTGGGGGCTGTCGTCATAGGGGAGACCTGGGACTTACACTGTAGACGACATCGCCGTCGGAGGCACGATCGAGGTCTACGGCCGGCGGTTTCACGTGGTGGACGCCAACGGCACCACTCGCCGGCTTCTCCAGGAGCGTCTGGGGCGGTTCGAGGCGCCGGCGATACCGTTCCCGGTCGACCGCTACTCAGTGGAGCGCAAGGAGTTCATGTCGCGGCAGACGGGGTGTGATCCCACCGTCCAGCACAAGATTATCAAGGTGCGGGAGAATGGGCGGTCTAGATAGAGAATCCCTGGGTCGGTCCCAGCGGCAAAAATATTATTGTGTGCTGATTTTTGTTCGTCACGATTTTGCATGTTTTATGGTGCTGTTTTCGTTACGTCACGACAAATATTTTTGCATGTGTTTCCCTCGAGGAGACATGCCGCGCCAGCTTCTCTGAGGAGAAAGGGCAACCCATTTACGAGGGCTATTTGGTTTTGCCTGCGCCCCGCAGGATTTCGCATGCATGTGTTTATCCTCCTCCCTCCTCCCCGAAGTTCTGATTTTTGCAATACCCGGCCGAAAAAGCATTTGCCGTGGTTGCCCGCCCCCGCACAACCCCCCCCCGTGACTACAACGCCGTGCAGAACGACATGAAAGTCTTCGCGGAGGCAACCCTGGGGAACACGGTAGACAACAGCAAGAGGGCCGGCTTCATCAAGTACGACCGCAACGTGCTGCGGTTTCAGGCGGTGTGGGACGACCGCGAGAGTCTGTACGGCGACATACAGCGGTTTGAGGTGAGTTGACATGCCATGCAGAAAGAGGATGGAACAAATGCCACGGGCTCGTCTCCACCGGTTCGATTTTTTGGCCTGGTCTCGGCTTTCTTTGTCGTTCACTACGCTGCGGTGCTGATCGCTAACCGCCGTCGCCGGCGTGGCGGCACAACCGTACGCGTGGGTCATTGTCGAACGTCGTTACTTGGGCACATCAGAGGGGGCCATGGTAGGAAACTTCCTGACAAAAGAGTTGTGCGTGGAACCGATGCAACACTGCAAGCGTTGGTCGCACTGCATTGTTCTGAACCTAACATGTTTTAGGAGAAAAGCCCACACCAAAACCCCTACGACAGAGAGGACCGGTGTTTCGTCGCCCTAGAGAGATCAGTCCGATGATCGCACAGCCTGAAAAAGTGCGGCGGGGTTTCCTCTCCTGTGGGATGCTCGCAACATAGAATCGTAGTGGCCCAAGCTTCACCTCTGCAAGGCCCCTTTTGGACGTTCCTCGACCAGCCGCTCTCAAGCATGTTGCCATGTCCCCTGCAACCGTTTTGCTCGTGCCGACGCGCGTCTTGCACTCCGCAATACCAACGCCACAAATGATTACATGTGGCACGACGCGTGTCTGCCAGATGCACTATTTCCTGGCGGACGACACGATCGAGATCCGAGCCGTGCACGGCCCTAACTCTGGGAGGGACCCCGTTCCGGTGATGGTGAAGAGGGGAAGGATCCCCAAGTCGATCACCGGGGGCGCTAAGAGCGAGGCATATCACTGGAGCGACTTCGACATCGGGGTGGAGGTGAACGAAGGAAAACGCTAGGTTGTTTAAGTTGTTTACCGGTAGTAGTTTGATTTCTGCGGCCTGGCATCCACCACAGGGTGCTGGCGGCGCGCGCGGGCATCGCTCGTTCTTGGACTATAGGAGAACGATGTTTCTATGCATAGCCGAGCATTTAACTATGGGCAAAGAGCGTTTCGCCTGGTTCTTGGTTCGCGATACTGTAGGTGTTTCGTAAGGGCCAGGGGGCGGGTGCATGGGTGCACGAGCACAACGTGAACATAGCCAGAAACTTTGAACAGTCAAACCGGCTCAGTTTCTGAAAAATGAGCAGGCTCGAAATATCTGGCTGCCTGGAAGTGGATGGGGTTATGGGTTTTGCCCGAGGTGACACGTATTATTTCGAGGTGTAGACCACTAAAAGGAGTAGCCTCCGATCTCGTCTTGTGCACCATGTCCGTCCAATTCTTACGGCTGCCGCCGATACGCCTCCGCACAACCCCAACTGCCGGCGCAACAAATCAAACGCAGCTGAATGTGTACGAGCGGCCGCTGGTTCTCGTGGACGCCGACGGCCACACCAGAGAGTTCTACAACACCAAGGGCGTTCATCTGGGCGACCCGATCCTCCCGCCGCCGGTGTCCGTTCCCGTCGTCGAGCCCCCCCTGCTCCCTCCGTCTGTGGACAGCTTCACTGGAGGCGACGACGAAGACGAGCTGGCGTCGCGGTCGACCTCGCTCATCCCGAGTCCGCCGCGAAAGATTAGGGGCGAGGACGTCATGTTCCGGTACACGGCCGAGCTCAAGTGAGTTTCACGTCGGATTTCCCTTTCAATATATCGAGACTTCGGGGGGGTTGTAACTACTTGTAGGCTTCTGGTTGCAGTAAGTTGATTTGGGCTGTGGTACGGTGCGCGACCAGCGCAGAAGCACCGGCGCCTCCAATATATCCGTCTGGCTCTCTTCTCCAGCTTCTTGCTCGTTTCTTTTTCAGACTTCACACTTGCGCGGGGGTGACAAAACCCCTATCCACACCTAGCGTACCATCACGTACACATTGCCTCTACAGTACATTCCATGATACACTACACTGCTGTAAGAACGACCACAAACGAACATGCACCCATGCGTAAAATTGAGCAGGACGGGCGTTCCGGAAGACGAAGGGAGGCGTTTCATCATCACGTACTTCAAGGCGGATCGTACGGTGGTTGTGAGGGAGCCCCCCAAGAGAAACAGCGGCATCATAGGCGGCAACTTCCTCAGCCGCATGAAGGTACATAGAAGTACATAGGATCACTTTGGTCGACAACTTTCGTTGGTGAGGAAGCGCGCTTGTAAGGGAGAACGGAGCCAGAGGCCGCGGGAAGTGAGTCCCGCCGCCTACCCCCGGCGCGCCGGCCTTGGCCGTGCTTTATGCGGGCCGGCCTCGGATGGGCGTAGCGGCTTTCGCTGGGCATTGCTCCGGTCCGGTGTGTGCTTTGCGTTTCGAGCGGTTTGTGCCGGGGATCGGGTCATTGATGGTCTTCAAGTATCACTGACCAAGGGAAACCCCGTCACCCCTGATCTACTCTCGTACAAGAAAGAATGAAGACTTCAAGACCAAATCGAATCGTCACAACGTTTACCATATAAATTCCGATAAAAGCAACAGAGTAGCACGCCCAACGGAACGCGACAATCAATCTTTCTTCTTCTCGATGTCATCATGGTTGTAACGTCGTTGCCGTTGACAAGGTGCGGGACGCGTCGGGCAACGTCATCACCGAGTGCTCCTTCTACGTCGGCGCGGAGGTGACCTTCCACGGCCATTGCTTCCGAGTCACGGCCGCGGATGACAAGACCCTGCGAAGCATGGAGGAGAGGGCCAATGCCCCCGGCGGTTTCATCCACTCGGACCCCGTCAAGGCTGCGGAGAACCTAGCCAGCTGGGTCGACGGGCGGACCGACCAAGTCAGAGCGTTTCTCCGCGAGCGTGATCTCAAGGTGGGCTGAAAGGGTTAGTTAGGTAGTGTAGCGTTTACGAGATGGAACTGGCGTACGTACTTGCGATGATATTTCGTTGTTTGACATCGGTGCTACGTTCTTCGATGGTTGGGATGGTACTGTGGTTTTAGACGCAGGGGGTAGAAAGGTGCAAGCTTGAGGCCGAGGATTGAACAAAGGCCGTCGGGGAGCTCTGTGCACATCAGTGCGTTCATGTATTACAATACCTGAAAAATGTATTCGACTACGGTACGTATCAACTGGTGGTCACCAATCAATGATAGGCGATGTATGGCCGGCGTACGCAGTTTTTTTAAGCCTACAGAGATGTAACAAATCTACTGTAAATAGACAATCCCGCTTGTTCTTGTGGTGAGCAAGTTCCCTCCTTGACCTACGACCGACCTTCGCAAGAGTAGGGTATCATGCATACATTTAAAAACGTACCGAAAATCGTCAAAACCCGGTCGCGTCGTGGCATGACACGGACACAGGGAACGGGCCAAGCGTCCAGGCCAGATCTTCTTCGGGCGCTCGAAATCGCCGGAGGGGTGGAGTTAGGGCCGGCGACGCCGGAGCAGGCGGTCATCACCCTCATGCGCGCGGCGGGCGGCGACTCGTCTTCGGCGCCGTACGAAGCGCTCGTGGACAGACTGGTCGAGCCCGGCGGGTTCCAGCAAGGACTGTAGTCTATGTAGGCTACAGCAGTGGCCACGTGATGCTGTGTATACGTATGCCCGGGGGCTGGGGGCTAATGAGAGTGATTGGTAGTAGAGAACGATACCGTACAGTGGGAATGACGAGAGCACCTTTGTTTGTTGTAGCAGGAAAGCATGGCATAGAAGGGGGGACTTGTTGGGTCATGATCGCCAGACAAAATGTAAACTGCGCCAAAACTCTTCCATGCTTCCGGGGTCCGAACGCGAGCCGCTCCCATGTAGATGAATGACGAGTCGACAGCGTATATGACCCACCGAAAAGCGAAGCTACACGTAGCTGCGGTGCCCGTTATTTGTTGGTGACTAGCGTATCGGGTCGCGTACGAGTCCAAAAACACCCGACGCCAACAGACCACGAGAACGCCATGCAAACATTGGTGCACAAGCACGAGATGCGGCATATTCACTGGTCGCGACAGGGCATGACCAAGTTGAAGGACTAGAGCCGAGAAAAATGTTTCAACTCTTTGGGGACGGCACTAGAAAGGGTGAAGAGCCGGTGAGTGCACGCTTCACACGCAGCTCCGAAGTCATGAGACAAGTGGTTCATCAGGCGCCGCGCTGATTCGAATAGAGCAATACCTCACCACGTATGGCTACATGTCCCTGAATCGGAAGAGGGGCTTCATTTCCAAACCAAATTGTTCCGTTTCTCGCTTTTTAGAGCCTTCTAGCGTGTGCGCAACTCAGCACGAACGAGAAAGGCGAGGTAGAAGAGACGGCCCTGCCCCCTCCTCCCCGCTCAACGCTCTGCCGACAAGAGAACCGGCGAAACAATATTTATCAACATCGTATCATCGTTATCGCCGATAGTGCAACACCAACAACACCAGGAGCAACATCAAAGAACACAGTGGATCAACCCCTTCTTGTGTATCCCCATGCTGTTCGTCCCCGCCCACCATAAAACCTAGACAACGTCAACCTAGTTTCGCCCAATGAGTATCGACACTCATCACCGCCTCCTTGAAAGTTACTAACACCGGGACCAAATCGACTCCAAGATCTCCCCCCCCACCCTACCGGCGCAGCTGTCGCGCTCTACCAAGAGAGAAGATCGCTGTGGGGACATGCGTCACCAACACGCTTACAACAACAATTGTTACAACGCGGAAAACATGTCAACGAATCTAAAATTGTCTTATTTTCTCATTGCTCGAAGATTTCTGATTTAGCCACCGCCTCGAACGCTGCCCGGGCCCCCTTACTCCTGTTCCCTGGTCTCTTCTTGCCCCCCCTTCCCCCTGCCGCCATTCGCGGTGCCCCCCGTCCACCCAAGGGCGCCGCCTCGTCCGCCTGGGACTGCCGCAGCTCTTGCAGTTTCCCGAACGCCTCCTGCTGCTCCGGCGTCCCCGACACCCTAAGGATGTTTTGGGCGGTCTCCCACATGTCCGGAGGCATCTATTTGTATTTGTAGGAGGTGGTCAGACGAAAGAGTGCGCGGGGTAAGCGATCTGCAAGCACGCACGCGAGGAATAACATGAAAAGGCTGATTTCTTGGGAAAAGCTACCAAAACGAAACGGATGGAAAACAATGTTTTTTGTGTAAATGGTTGGAAAAGAAAATCCTCCTCGTCTTCTCTCTGAAAACAATAAACCCTTTTGGGTCTACAGGCGTCCTGACAGATCATTCATTGATCATTTGTACATCCTGGTGTTGCGGCATGCCGTGGAGTTGCGCCTTGTATCCCTCCACGCCAGGTGTTGGCAAGTCAATAGGTAGGAGTGTCTATAATATTCGCGTCGACCGTGTACCCGGTGACCAATGAAAAAGACGTTAGTGCCAGCGGGTATATCAAGGTCCCTGGAACGGCCATTCGAAAAATGTACACTGCGCAAATGCGAATGCCATGAATCTCTCCCCATATCCTTTCACAGAGACACACATCAATAGCTCCACAAACATGCCTTCGCCCGAATCTACCAAGCCGCAAAGACAGGAGGACAGCGAAAAGGAGCACTTCAAGCCCAACCAGGCCAGGATATCGTCCGTGGTACATATCCTCCAAATTTGAAAATCGTACACTCCCAAGATCCAGCAGTCATACTGTCAGCAGCTGTACTACACAGCAGCAGCAGTATATGTAGACGAGTCCAACATACAGCAGCTGTGGTAACACATACACTATCATCATAGCCCCACACATACCCTCGCCCGAACCTAGAGAGCCACTGATGCAAAGGTAGGTGTGTGCTGGTGTACTTGCGTGCTTGTGGGAACTGTGGGAAAATCACAGGAGCTGAAGTGAGCCGGCAGGGCTCACATCGGGGAGGGGACAGAGAAGTACAGAAGAACCTGCTATGGGTCTACAAGCCGTCTCTCTGATCATTTTCACTGATCATTTGATTGTACTGAAAATAGAGTAGTTTGGGCGGCTTGACGGCTGATCTTGTCGAGGTCTACAAGCCTAACCTGCCCTAGCGGCCGCACCGCGACTACGCATCAACCCTTCTATGACCCTGTCTGTGCCCACCGTCCTGTCGCGGGCAGCCCTCATGGCCTATGGGTGAAGATAGCTGTTGCGTCTACAGAAGTACACTCGTCTCTTTCTGCTGTACTTCTGCCTCTCTCCCCGCACTCTCTCCTCTATTCTTGTTTTTTGCCGCAAAAAAAAAAAGAGAGCTACAATAGACCCCAAGGGGTTAAGAGCCGCGCACGAAACGCGTACATATGTCAGCGTACCCTAGCGGCGGAGAAAGGGAGGAACAACCATCGGAACCGATGCTCACCGGCGCCTTGAACGACATGGGCTTGTTGGTGAACGGGTGGATGAACTCGAGCGACACCGAGTGCAGGAGCGGTCGCTGGGCCTCCACTCGATGCGCCGAGCGCTTCGAGACTCTGAAGTTAGCTTCCGGGTCCCCGTACTCTCTGTCTCCGACGATGGGACAGCCAATCCACTGGTCGTCCGTCGCCGTGAGTGTGTTTCCGACATTTGTTTCGTTGAGGGAAAAATTGGGGGGGAGAGGGGGGGGGGGGGGGGGGGGTACTTATGTTTTGCATGCCTTGGCGGTTAGACCATTGACCAGGCGTCCTCGAGAGGACGGAGCATTGTTCCCACAGGACCGATGGCCAATCGTCCCTTCCTACTTTGCCAAAGGTGGCTCATGTTTTCCCACGCCTATCTATCCTATGGGGGTGGGTGGTCGGGGGGGTAATTCTAACTTCAGAGGACTCCTGGGCGAAATGTACAACCAGCACCGCTCTTCGTTTTTCATGCAGTATCTTCTTCTCTCCCTCGCCCGCTTTAGAGGAGCCATACCTTGAGGTGAACTCGCACTTGGTGCATACGTCCGGTGAGGATGTCCGCCCGGCACAAGCTTAGTCCTGGTTTGGGGGGGGGGGGGCGGGGTCACGGACGGCGAGGGCGAGTAAGAGCGCACGAGAACAATCATGAAACACAATAACACGCAGCGGGGATTTGCCTACGAGCGCATAAAGCTGCCTTTGTGTTGCACATAGAGTCATCGTCGTCGTCATTCATGCATTCAAACACGAACGAGTGGGTAGTACATAGCCTTATGTCTTGCCGCTGCAGTGTTTTCGCCCCCACGGCGTTCTCCCCTGTCGGAGGGCTGTGCGCAGAGCGCGCTCCGTACCATTCTCGTGCGGCCGTAATGCAGAAATCGATCGACCCGACTTGGCCGACAGCAACATTGTCAACTCGGCGTCAGCCTCTCTCGACGGGGTGGTGGGGCGGGGCAAGAGCGCCAGCAACAGCTAGCGGATGCCAACCGTAGCACAAAACACCCTCTACGATCTGCAGATCTGCCACGCTTAGCAGGGGAAACACTCTTCTCTTCACGAGAGCGCGAGACACACAACGTCGCACGCGCCGAGCGCCGGCAGTAGAGCGGGCCGTAACCGCTTTCACCTGTCAAACCGATACCTGACTGACTAGCGTGTGCGCCCTCCTCCCTGCTTTGAATTGTCGCAAGACTTAACGCATGACACCAAGCGCACCCCCCCGCGACGCCTACCTCTAGCGGTAGCCACGTTTCGCACGCGCGTCTGGGCCTCCTTGGCCCTGAACGCCTCCGCCTCCCACGGCTCCACCGCGCCCACCTTCCCGCTGCTCCTGCGGTACAGGGGGGCGTCCACCACCGAGTCGAAGCCGGGGTCCCCGTGGCACACGGCCAGGTACTGCTTCTTCACCTTGCCCTTCCGGAAGAGGGCGGAGAGCTTCGAGGAGGCGGCTAGGGTCTTGGCGACGACCATGATGCCGCTCGTCTGCTTGTCGAGCCGCTGCACGATGCCCTGGCTCAGCGTGTTCGCCGCCGCCGCTGTTATGTCCGATCCTTCCTCGAGCTGCCCCGACTGCACCATGTGGTACATTAGCCCGTGGAGAACGGTCCCGCGAGGGGCCGCCGCGCAGGGCTGGCATATCATCCCGGCGGGCTTCATGGCCACGAAGAGGTGGTCGTCCTCGAACACAACGCGGAGGCGCGGCAGCCGCTGGGGGAAGACGAGGTTGGGAGGAGGCGTAGTTGTAGCGGCCGCGACGGCGCTTGCCCCCTGCTGCTGCTGCTGCCGCCCCAGGTCTACCGAGATCCTGGCTCCGCGCTTCACCCGGATGAACCGCTTGACCTTGCGCCCGTCGACCTTCACGTCGCCCGCCTCTAAAGCCTTGCGGTAGAAGCGCCTGCTGTGCTGCGGGAGGCGACGCGAGAGGACCCAGTCTATCGGCGCCTTGTTGTCTTCGTCGGAGACGACCGTGGAGATAACGGCGTTCGTGTTGTCGTCCTGTGCCGGCGGCGCACGCGAAACGAAGAAAATACGAAGTCATTAGACAACTCGATTCAAACCAGCCGGTCATTAGAAGCTGCTGGACCTCCACTTCTTCCTGCTTGCTGCGCGACTACTGCTGTATCTTCGCAACGGCCGCGACATTCTCGCCCGGTCGGTCTTCCACGTTACTGCCGTACCTTAGCTGCGTTCATGTACACCGCGAAAGATAAGGCGGCAAAAACTCGCCGCGCGCACCTGGTTGCGTCCAAGAACAGGGTACAAAACACGACAAACCACATACTACACAGCAGCAGACGCGTCGTAGACAAGCTGTCACTCTCACTTGTTCCTATTGACACACGAAAACCCGGGCGAACGGCCAATCGCTACATAGCTTACCTCGGTGGCCGCAGGCTGTGCCGGTGCTGCTCTTGCTGGTGCTGGTGGTGTCGTTGGTGGGAGGCTCTCCTCCGCAGAGAAGAATGCCCCCTCGTCCTCATCCTCATCTTCATCTCCAGGCTGTGTCAAGTGTTGCAGCGACGACTCTACCCCGTCCGCCGCCCCGCCTAGCCCTGCTGCTGCTAATGCTCTCGCTGCTGCCACACGATGCCTACTTGGTCTTGAATAGCGATACGCCGTTATTCTGCTGCTTTGCTCCACCCCTGCTGCTGCTGCTACAGTCGTTGTTGATCGCACTGGGATGGGGTTCACATGGAAACCGGTGGCCGGGGACCGTGCGGTGCCAACAAGCACCGCAGCTAGCGGCCACTTCATCTTCGCACTGACTGCAGTCTGAGGTGTGCGGCAGTTGAAGTGCCTCACGGCAGACCTCGGTTTCAAAACGACCCTTCGGGGTGGGCGACGAGTAACACCAGGCAGACAGAGCGGGGTTAAGCGAGATATAAGAGCGTGCGCTGGGTAGCTTCTCTTGCACCCTTGTGGTCTTTCTTTCTCTCGTTCGTGCGTGGACACTACGACACAGCTGCCAGTCAGCGGTGCGGCGGAATCATGTTGCAAAGGGCGAAAGAAAATGAATCTGCGAGGCCTCCGCAGGGGGGGGGGGGGTGGCAGCGGCGAGACGAGAATGTGAGCGAGCGGTAGTGGATGTCCCAGCAACCCAGCAAGTACTTGTGCTTCGTCGTGCTTCAGAGGGCCTACACGCGAAACAATACAATACTTACGAGAGGATTCCTCCGGTGAGGATACTACAGTAAACCAAGATGGTTGTAGAGTGGGGGCTGAAAAAAAAAATGTCACGTCTCAGAATTTCCATTACTAATTTTCTTTCAACGCGTCCGTCGTTGAAGCATTTTCTTACGCCTACCAGGTATAGATCATGGGGTGAGAGCTGCAACAACCGATACCTGTCGATACATTTGGCTCCGAGTTTTTGCTTTGCCGCCAACACGATCTATCAGATTGGAAAAAACAGGAGGAGTGCACGAAATTCTCGATCAAGTGTTCGAGGTAACGACGTAGTGCAGTAGATATTCCTCCATGTGTTCGTAAACACGCGTGGGAACCTACGCCTACATATATCTTCAAGGAGTGACCGACTAGACCTACCGATGAGATCTTGTGGCCGTTATTGGGGCTTTGAAATCTAAACCCATAGGCTAATCGGAGATAGCGAAATAAATCAGACCCTTTTCCGTTGCGCACGTAAAGGAAAAAATATCATTTTTGGTCCCTACGGCACGCAGTTCTGTTTCTGGATGTGAGTCTCCACAAGAGGCAGGTGTTGCCGCTCGTTCGCACCCGTTTATTCCCCAGATCAACTCCCAAGCAATCGGATGTTTCTCGGACCCAAACAGGCCAAAGCAACACACATACGGAGACAGTCTCATTCGCAGGCTCTGCTATTATCATCGTGTTTTCCATGCTTTCTGTGTCCATGCATGCCGAGCCGCCTTCGATGTCTACATCACGACACCCCCTGCCACCCCAACACCCCCGCCTCGAAAGGGATGCACTTGTCGTCAGCGGTCAAACGCCTTGAATCTTAAAGCAAGCAGCAGGCAAGACTCCCTGACCGCCATCACCCACTCCGATCGAGCGCACAGCAGTCCGTCACACAGTACAAGACCGCCATCCACAAAGAAAGCAACACGATGAGCGAGGTGCAGGTAGAAGCGAGATACCTCTTCCTTTTCCCCAAGTCTTGCTTGCCGACCCGGCCCGCTTCTGCGGGGGAATTTTCCAGTAAAAGACTACCAAATAAAACCACTCTAACAGCCCATCGACTCTACCCTGCCGCCTATGTTCCAGACAACAAAAAATCAAACGACACGGCAAGCATGACGGGGCTCGAGCGGAGAAAACTATCAGAAAATCCCACAGCCACGCTCGTGGCATCATCAACAGCTAGCCGTCAGATCAGTGGTATCCCTTGACGAATCCGAAGTGCTGCACCGTGCGGAATCGGCGCACGATCGAAATGGCGCACTCCTCCATCTTGAAGGGGTCCGTGATGTTGAAGTCCTCGAGCGTCAGAGCATCAGGGTTGGGCTTCTGCACGACGTCCACGCTCATCGCAAGGGCCTGCAGCTCAAGAACGGCACAGCGTAGCCACGGTTAGGTATATGAAGCACACCTTGCTGCACAGCACAGCGGCGCCACGTTTAGGAACATGAAACACGGCCTTGCTGCATAGTTCTACTGCCCTATCGTCCATGCACCCAGCGTGGAACGCTCAATGATGAAATATGAGGACTAAAACATCAACGGACGAAGCAGCCGCATGTATCCGACTAGCGCACCTCGTGCACTTTCGTCGGAAGGCCCTGCAACATTAAAGTATGGGCGCAACACACGCGCGGTACGAAAGCACCCTCTCGCTCAGCGCCTTCCACCATCAACTCTTTAGAAACCTATCAAACACGAACCCCGTGCCGTTCATTGCACAATTGTCAACCACCACCGTCGTCCTTTGAAGCACCTGCTACGGCAGGCCCAGCAAAAACAAAAACGCTCGACAAAAATACAGCAGCACGGTAAGAGCGCCCCCTCTCTCACCTCCTTCACAACCAAACCGACCCAAACCACCTAACCCCGTCAAACCAATGTCAGCAACTTTTTCACACCGGCTGTTCACGATTGTGTTCTACCCACCTCATCCTCCGTGAACAAGGGGTTCGGGAGCTGTTCTAGTAGCATCCCGTATCCCCTGGCGAACAACATGCTCATTTCCTCCACGTCCGTCACCCGCGCCCGGTGCGTCGTGTCGAGGACCAGGTCCGCCACCTCCCGCCACGAGAACTCTCCCGGGCCGGCCAGCTCTACCAGCTTGCCACGGTAGTCCAGGTTTTCCTAAAGCAAGGATGGTGGGGCGGGGGTCAGAGGCGTACAATATTAACACCCGGAATTTGCGTGCACACACGAAACACAGCGCTACAACGCTACGTTGTACAGGAAGGGGAGAGAGAAGCAGCAGCAGCCGGGAGCAAGACTAGGAATCGCCACAAAAATGTGCTGCCACAGCTGGTGGTTGCCTGCAACTGTCTGGAAGGGACTTCCGGTGCAAAATAGTACTTCCAAGTACATCCAACAGAGTACATCCAACAAGGAAGAGGCAGCAGCAGTGGCAAAAAAAACAGGGGCGTCACCGAGGGAGAAGGAGCCGAGCCAAACGGCAGCATAAGAGCGTTTGTTACTTTTTCTTTTTCAAGTCTCACCGGGTTATCGATGATCGCCATCAGCACCTGTGCCACGTTACGAGCGTCGATGGGCTGGATCAGGTTGTCCCCGTCGTTGACCTGGGAAGGGCAGGCAAGAGAGACAAGACAGGAAGGCCGAGAGATACGTGTCAACAAGGATACGGTAGGATAGGATGCCCAGAATATTTCAGCGGGTCTGAAGGGTTGAGTAGGGAGGGGGCACACCAGTCGCTGGGAACGAACGCCCGTCTCGGGGGGGGGGGACAAAAACCAGCCACTCAAGATATTCGTGCGAATAGCGAGATGCGGTTTGCCTTCACCCTGGCCCAGACAAAAAAAAACGTCGTGTCAGCCGCGTTACCCAATGGAAAATGTCCAACACAAGGTAATGAAACTGCATGCACGTAACTGCATGCACGCACGAAACCATAATTTGTCACTACGGGGGAAAAGGAACTAACCAACGGCACGCGGCCCATCCTAGTGGCCATGAGAGCGATCCAAGTGAGGAGGCGGTCGTTGTTGCCGAACAGCTTGGCCGGTCGGACGATGGTAGCCTCTGGGAAAGCCTCCTTCACCGCCAACTCCCCCGCGAACTAGACGGCCAGGTGATGAGCACGCACACGATCCGGGGCAGTAGGCACGAGCAACCAAGCCAAACGAGGGGGGAGAAACAAGCACACAGGTTGAGAGATGTGGCACATTGCTGGGTGGGAAGCGGCAGGGCATACACGATGAACCTTTCCAAGCTAAGTATCACTGAAGGAAGTGTTCTAGTCAAGCCAAAACAGCCTACTGAGGCGAATAGATACATATATAGAGAGAGCGAGCGCGTACACAGAGCAACAACAGAGTCGACATCCCCTAGAGCAAAACCAAACGTAGAACAAGGAGCCGAAGAATCATTAGTCAACGCCGGAGTCAGCTACGCAGGAATCGCACTGCTCCTGTGCGCGGGAGGTACGCCTGGGGGACAGGACCAGGCACAAACACGATGCCAATTCTCGCGTAGAGCCTCCGACTACATCCGGAATTTCATAGCACCTACGGTAACGGGGGCACGCTACTGTATTTCGGACAACAATTCCAATGCCTCCGGGGAAAACAACGGGGAGAGCAAAAGCCGGAGCCCTGGAGCAACTGAACACAGCTCTCCTCCCACTCCCCCGGGTTCACATACGTACCTTGGTCTGCGCCCAGCGCGAGGGCGAGTCAGGGTCCGCTGCCAACGCGCTGACGTGCACGAAGTTCTTCACCCCCTGCGCCTTGGCGGCCCTTGCGAGCATGCCCGCCACGTCCACGTTCACCTGGTTGTAAGAGAGATTACGATACGAGAGGAGAGGGGACACGTCCAAGCAGCTTAAGGTCAAAGCACACGAAGATGGAAGAAAGTCGGCAAGGTTTGATTTTGAGGGGGAAAACGCAAACCGGATTTGCATCGATGCGAGTGCATGGGCAGGGGGGGGGTAGGTGAGCCGCTCGGGGGGTGACGAAATCAAGATATCGTGCCGGCTCAAGCAACACAAGCGCACTTCCGAGGCAGATGCAACGCGTATACATGCAAACATCCGACACAAAATATATCATTTGACACAAGGACGCCGCTCCTGTACTGCCGCTCCTTCTTGACGAGCTGTGATCCGACACTAGAGCTAAGTTCTAGAAAGGCTTATCCACTGATTTACGTATGCTTACGGTGAATAATCATATTGCCAATAGCACAACACAGCTATTAATAGTCCACCCGAAAGTGTTGCAGTTAAGGTACAGCATCAGCAACATCTTTTTAAAGCAAAATTTGCGTACAATCACAAAAAGACCGTTTGAGATTATACCACGGTCGAACGGGATGTGTTGACGTATGTTCCTCACATTCTTGAAGCTGCTGTTAACCCTGTTGATCGCGCCGTCTTCCTTGCGCGTGAAGCACAGGTGCTTGGTCTCGTAGTGCTTGCCGATGAGGTTAACCACCGTGTCAGCGTTCCCGATGGCGTCGCGCATGCTCTGCTCATCGGAAGAGCTGCGCGGATAGATAAAACACCCGAACGTCGCGAATATTATACGTCGGGGGGAAAGCAATCAACTACTAGTGCATCGTAAATATCCTACACGGTTCAGCACCCTCCGGGAGTGGGAGGACAGCTGTTGTTGCTGTTCGCTCTTGTTCCCATATCAAGTATACTCTCCATCTGGAGGTTGGACCATTCGACCCAGTTTCCTCCTCGGCCCTCCTGTCGGAGGGGGCCAGGCGGAGTTGACACCTGTATCTTCTCTGTTCGGCTCAACACTATTAGTGCCTTGGATTCGAAGAGGTCTGCGACTGCAACTCCGACTCTGCTTCGGGGGGCTCCAAGTGCATGGCACTCCAAAATCGAGCTCTGAACATTAAAAATTCCGGATATGGGATTTGTGAGGTTAGAGTCCATGCGGAGAGCACGGTCGTGGCAGATTGAACACAGAAATGGTGGGTATTCAGACACGCACCTGTAGAAGGGGAAGACCACCTGACCTAGGTCGAACTGAACCTTAGTCCGGCGTACGTCCATCTCGCAACCGCGGTTGGGGATGAAGCAACGTGTACCCGTCCTCCCTGACGACGCGAGCGCGAAGGGAGGAGTGTATCACGCTGGAGGGGGGAGCGGAGGCCTAAGAAAGACAGTCCGAGGAAAACGCCATCTATTGTAGCAGCGGCACCAGTACTGCGCTGCTCTCTGGTGTCAATTAACGCAACGCATGTCCAACGCTGATGCTAACGAACATCGGTCGTCTACTCCAGGTCTGCAAACGAGCGACGAATGGTCTCGCACTCTTGTTGCAAAATGGCGGAAACTATATAGAGAAGTGCCGTCTACCCCTGCCGTCGAAAAACAGCCCTCTTTTCTCTAGTCCACATTTCCGCCTCGTTCGTTCTCAGTTCCAAGGTTTGAGCTTCGGTGGGATCTGCTGTCTGGAACTGCTCTGATCAGTCTTGAATCTGTTCACTACTCTGGATACAGTGTCACATACCGTATCAATCAAGAAGTTGGCGGCATGCCGATGGTATAGCTGTGGCGGGCTACTTGCCCAGATCCGCGTGACATCCCGCATCGTGTACAATATCGCCGTGTACCGCGTGATTTGAACAAACGCATGAGGAGAACACAACTCCTGGTGTTGTAAACTGGAGAGATGGGGCCAAAAGCGTCCAATGGTCAACGCCTCAACGTTCTGTCGTCTCTCATATTTTCTTCTCCACCCTCCACCCTCCCGACCGGGTTTACGATGCATACAGCAGCCTGTGTCCCGCGTATCTCGAACCCACTTGGCCTGCTGAAGCATGCAGTTCTACTGCACCTTGCGAACAATCTCCCCTCTGGAATCAAGCAGATGACGTCGTCGTACGAATGATGATGCGCCATGCGTAGCATAGCAATGTACCAAACCTTACCCGTAAGCCAAAAACCAACAACGACAATGAAAGCATGGCCGGCAAGCACGAATGCACGCGCACGGAGTCCGGCGCCGTCTGCATGCCTCACCAGCACATGAGATGAACAGGTGATGCGCCGGAGGAGCAAGCGGTTGGTTGCATCTGAGAGCTCAACACTCGAGCACCTCCCTCATGCCCCCCCGCAAAAGTGCTCAAACTAGGCTTTGTCCCATCCAGCAATCGTGAACCAACGCAAGAGAAAGCGAACGAGGCGCCGACTTCACCCCTCAATCATGTTCACGGCTATGCCGCTGTCTGCGCCCTGCTGCTCACCCAGCTGGTTCGTCACAAAACGTCCCAGGAAGCCCGTCGCGCCGAACACCGCGACGGTCTTGTCATTCACGGAGCTTCTGCCGCCTGCTCCGTACTGCCCGAGGTGCTTCCGGTAGCCTCGGGCGCCCTGAAGGAGCGGCTGGATTGCGCGCTGCGGCTTTGCCAGGGTCGCCATGGCGTCGTGAGTGTGTGCCAACACAGCGGGCACAACCTTCTCTCTGTCTGTGCTCGGGCATGCCCTCGGGGCTATCTATGTCTATGATGGGGCCCCGTGTATCGATCGGGAACCGAGACAGGGGGCGGGCACGCGCGGCCTCCGAGGTTGGCTTCTCACGCAGTTCGCCCGCATGCAGCGGGTCCAGGGTCGCAGTTGCTGCTGCTTGTGTGCTTTCCTCATGTGGCATAGGGCGTGTCACAGCTTGTGGCCGCAGAGAAACCGACTGCCACCTCAGGCACTGCCACCGCCGCCACGAGCAACGTCAATCTCGTCAATATCCCACCAAGAGAGGCGGCGGCACCCGGTTGGCACTCGAGTTGGCAGCAGGAGGTGCCTTGTAGGGACATCAACACCACCACCACCACCACCACCACTACCACCACCACCACCACCTCGCAAGTGCCTCGTGTATAATATCACAGGTGGTTCCGTCCCTTACGACCGGGCATGGCTGTGGCAGCAGCGCCTGCTGCACGAGCGCATGGCCTGGCAGCGAGAGGAATATCCAAGCCAGGACTCGTACGACGTCCTTCTCATGCTCGAACACCCTCCCGTCTACACGCTCGGGCGGGGCTCGTCCCTGGACCACCTGCGCTTCGACCCGACGGACCCTTCGTCTCTGGGCGGGAGAGAAGTTCGCCGGACGGAGAGGGGAGGCGAGGTGACCTGGCACGGTCCGGGGCAGGTGGTGGGGTATCCTGTGCTGGACCTCAACTTTCACAAGAAGGACTTGCACTGGTACCTGAGGCAACTGGAAGAGGTGATGACTCCCGCGCGAGAGCTGGTGGGAACATGCTGGCTATTTCGTGCACCCTCGTATGTATGGGTGCTTGCCGGTCCATGCTTCTACTATGTTGCGACTTGTTCTGATGCGAACCCTGGCGTTACGTAGTATTTTCTGTGGCATATCTATTCTGGTGCTCCCCGCTAACTCGGCCGGGTTGGCCCTCTTAGCAGGGCAAGGCTTGTAGTGCGACGAGGTTTGCGTGTGTTGCAGCGTGCACTTGGCGGTTGACCGTGAAGACATGCAGCACCCACGCCCGTATCGACACAATACCGTGTAACTGTCACACGTATTCCTAGACTGCCTCCCAATTCCGTCCCCTACCCTGCCTGTTGCACATCTATTGCATTCGCACGCTTCCTCACTGTCCGCGCACACCTCTTTCGGCCCTCATCGTTTCTGGACCTTTTGCCGCCGCTCAATACACAAAGGTTGTCATCCGAGTGCTCGGGAGATATGGTCTCGAGGGCGAGCGAGAGACGGAACATACGGGCGTATGGGTGGGCGGCGCCAAGGTCGCTGCCATCGGGCTGAACGCCAGCCGCTGGGTCACCTCGCACGGCTTCGCGCTCAACGTCAACCCGGACCTGAGCGCCTTCGAGGCTATCGTGCCGTGCGGCATCCAGGGCCGGCCCGTCACTAGGCTCTGCGACCTCGTTGGCGCCGAGACCTGGTCTCCGCCCTCGCCGGAACAAATCGAAAAGGCGGCACGTGTCGATGGAACAGGTGTCACTGCGTCGAACGCGGTGGACAACCATGCGGTCGACATGGGCTCCGTTCGGTCGCTCGTGATGCAGGAGTTCGAGGACGTGTTCGGCGTGAGGGTACAAGTCGTGGACGTTGACGCTGCAGCACATAGTAGCGGTGACGACGATTTGGAAAAAGAGATATTTCCGGCAGACTGCGAGCCGCAGCTGCTGTCGCGCCTACAAGCCGATAGCTTGCGACAGTTAGAGCTGACGAGGCGATGACGACGCTGAATGACTCCAGATAGTTGATAACTTCTTGGCATTTATGGTGCCATCTCACGTGTGTGTGTGTAAGATAGCATCATCCGCCGTGCTGCTACGAACTTTCGGAAGGGCTTGGCGTCGAACTTTGCGCGCAAAGCCGGGGATCCATCCGTGAAGATCGTGTAGGCAGATACAGAACAAGCTTTGCATACTTTGGTCTCCAAGGACCAGCGCAAGGCCATCTAGCTTTTCAAGGAAAATCGGATAAGACAATCAGAGTCAAGAGACCCGAAAACGAGCACCACGTTTGTGTTCACGAAAATCAGGATGTAGGTGTGAGACACAACTGACAGCAGTGGTGACTTGAGCATCAGCTGATAACTTTCAACCAACAATCAAAGACGAGGCAACAGTTGTTAGCCTACTTTCGCCTAAGAGAGGCAACCTCACAGCGACAAGCGAAAGCTATTGTGTGGTTTGCAAACGTTGCGCTTGTCTCTGAGGCAGCATTATTACTTCCTGGCACTGGAAGTTCTTGTGCTGCGTGACCGGGTGTCGTGGCTGGCTTGATACTTCCGTGCAACAGCAGCAGCAGCAGCAGCAGCAATAGTGAACGGAAACGCTTCATATTATCGAACTACGTCAAGGCAGGTGGATGGCGAAGCACCATTTTTGGTCCCGAGAGCGACCCTTTAAGAACCGGTGCACAACAGTAACACATACCAGCAAATTACTTTTTTCCCTCACGACATATGGACGAAAAAAGCTAGACCTCCTGTACGGGGCGGAGAAGCACGCGTAGCAACTCGACACGCCCCATCACATCAAGCTTCACAACTGCCTAGCGCAACACATAACCTAGACACGCACCATACGTAACCTGCACAGGGCACACGAGTCACGAGAGACTGACGCTGCTTGCGGTGTGCTGAGGTTTCAAGGACCCCCCCCCCCCCCCAAACGTAACCTCCCCTCCCCTACACAAAAAACTCGCCGAAACTCTCGGCCTTTACAGGTGGTGCACCATTTGGGGGTGTAGGTCAGCAAAGGACGAGTAGTTTACGTGCTAACAACGGGATCGCTTGCAGATGCAATGCCGGACAAGACAAGGACTTAAAACCAGACTAGCTCTAACCCAACCACCAGATGGCATCAACGCTGCTTCACGCTGGACCATGTTAAAAAAAGAAATCTCTCGACGATACCGTCTTTCTGTTCTCTTGGCACATCTGCGTTCCTACCCAAACCTTGAATCATGCATCGTGCACACAGCGCCGCACGAATGAATCAAACGTAATTTACGAAACTAAAAACAAAAGGTAACAGACTACGGGTTCTTTCACACAAGGACTTCAATTCGCAGTTCCGCGGAGCAGCCGCGGGCGGGCGGGATCGGTGGGGAGGGGCGAAGGCTCAACAAGTTTTACATTTGTTCCTAAAGGGTATCCGCAACAGGCTACTGCTCTCTCTTTGCCATATTTTTTCGCACACGAACACACGCCCCGCAGAACGTTTCAACTGATATTCTCGTATGTCAACTGCTTAATTGTCCATCCAGACTACTCTACCGCAAATGAAATGCGGTTTTATTTCTCTCCTTCAACATTGGCGCGCGTGTCGACACTGGTGTTTCTAAGGACCACCTTCACCGCGCGCTCTGCCACACCCACTAAAAACATGAACGAGAAAAAATGACACACAAACAATAATTTCGGGACGGTCATCACAGCAATCGGCACGGGCAGCACAGCAACCCCCAGCGAGCGCCCCAGCCCCGCAAGCGATAACTCCTACACCCCTGGGGGGCAGACGAAAAAACTAGCACCATTTACGTCAACCACACAAAAACACTTCTTGCACGCCCACAAAAAAACGACACGGCAACCACTCACACCTTGCAACATGGGGGCGCGCCGGCCAAGCAAAAACATACGCTGTATGTAAAAAAAAAAAACGCCCCCCTCTCGCTGTCAATCAATAGCAGCCCTATCTCATCAAGAGGCAAAAGAATCCTGCAGCTGTCCAGAGACCGCCGCCGCATAGTCACTGCCCCACTCGAGCGCCTCTCTCGCTATCGCTCCAATTGAATCGATCAAACGGCCACCAATCTCTCTCCTTGCCTCCCGCTCCTGCCGCCCTTGTCCCTCTCCACCCCGCCGGCTCCTCGTCCTCGACGGCGATCGCATCGTCCCACCACCAACCAGAAGTGTTCTCCCCCGCGGGGACCCCAACAAACGCTGCCGCCGACTCCTCCGCCCCCCCCCCGGCCCCCGTGCAGCACCCGGGAGGAGGCCGCAGCGGGGGTTCCTCTTCGAGGAGGTGGTCCCACCGCACCCCGGAGAAGAAGGCGTGATCCCGCACCGGGGACGCGCCGCCGGCGCGTCCCCGGGGGTCCTTGACCAGCAGCGCCCGCACGAACTCCTGGCAGACGCCGCTGATGTCCCCGTCGTCGCGCTCCCCGGGCTCCGGGAAACGGACCTCCCCGTGCATGATGTTGAGGAACGTGAGGCGGGTCTTGCCGTTCTCTCCGGCGAACGGGGTGCGGCCCAGCAGCAGCTCGTAGACCAGGACGCCCAGACCCCACCAGTCCACGGCGCTCCCCTGGGGGTCGTGCATCAGGACCTCCGGCGCCTGATGGAATAGTAGAATCGCAACCAAGATAATGTCAGATTAAGGGTAGGGTTCAGTGATCGTTGCCGGGCCATGTCCCAACCAAGGTGCACAACACGCGTTGCGCGCGCGCGCGGGGGGGGGGGGGGGTGCATACGGATTGGCTTTACTCGGTCGGGTTGACGTACACCTCGTTACAGCTCTTTTGAGTGGTTGGTCGTTTTCGTCCGAAACTATTGTGCATGCGTCTTCCCTGCTGGGTGAACCAGGGCACAAGCATGTCTCCCAAACGACGCGGGGGGCAATCCACACGGGGGACCAATCCTTGGTCGGTTTGGGTGTGTGACCCAGTCTTTTGCGAAAAAGCTCCGACGGGCGCAAAGCAGTAACTACACGCCAGGGGACACGGAGCAGGCTGTGGTCGAAAGCTCACCATATACTCCGGCGACCCCGAGAGCAGCCCCCCAAGAAGCCTCGCCAAGGGTGACGGTGGCTCTTCGCATCCCCGCACGTCCGCGGGACGTCGGAGAAGGCGGGCTTCTGGACCTGTCGAAGCAAGAGGGTGGTGCGGCGGCGAAACAAGTTGAAGAACTTGTTGATTGGTCTCAAAGAGCTGGCTGATTGCTGCTGCTCTGCTGCTGCTGCCGCTGCTGCTGCTGTAATCCTAGCTGCTGAAATGCCTCACTCCTTCAGAGCCACGACGAGCGAATCGATCAACACGTTGACCACGAGCATTGGCACCAGCTAACAACAACATGGCGCTCACCCACCCACCCACCCACCCCGCCCGCCCGCCCACCAAATCTCACCCGATGTCTTGAATGCCCCTGCACCTGGGAGACGGGGGTGGCACGCCCCCACGGCCGCCCGGAGCCGCAGCGGTGTGCGGGGACACGGACGGGGAAGAAGAATCCGAGGAAGAGCACGAAGAAGACACCGAGCTGCGAGAGCTCCGCAAAAACCTGCCCCGCATCCGCCTGCCCAGGTTCAGGCTCGGGGGCCGCGGCGGAGTCGCCCCAGGCCCATCTTGCTGCTGCTGCCGCCGCTTCTTCCGGCGAAAGAACGACGAGTAACGCGACCCGCCAGCGCCGGCGGTGACCGCAGACTCGAGAGAGGGACGCGGGTCACCCGACAACGAATCTGGAGAGGAGGAGGAGGAGGAGGTGCTGGGGGTGGTGGAGCTGCTGCCGCTGGTGGTGGTGGCAACACGGGCGGAGGAAGCTCGGCGATGGCCCCCGGTCCGCGCTTCGGCAACGCCTCCTCCTTGGCCGTCCGAAGACGAACCTCCGGCGACGCCGACTCCCGCCGCAGAGCCGCCGGCGGGTTTCTTCGACACCGGCCGTGAGCCAGAAGAAGAGGTAGAAAGAGCCAATTCTGGCGAGTCTTTCACAGCCTGCCGGAAAATGAAAAAAAGCGGGGGGGCGAGCAAGGGTCGGGACGGGCCAAAAGTGACCACCGAGATCCAGAGCCGTGCCCGAGAGTGTGACGGACTGCTCGCAAGAAACATGGTCGCCAGGTATGCCAGGAGGAAACGCTAAAAAATGTGTGGAGCTTGAGCGACGATTGCTCTCCTAAACCCTGAAACAACGGGCTGCGCCCTACACACAAGAATAGAACACATCATGTTAACCCCGAAATTTCAATAATCTCGTGAACGGACGCGGCCGGTAATCGGTGCGTCAGTCGGCCCAACCCTGAGGAGGAACGAGAAACAGCCTACAAAAACAGAAAACCCGCAAGGGGCTCACTGCGAAAGAGCCATCTTTGTGGGCGGCACGTCAGTTTCGTGTAGCAGTCTTGAATAGCACGTACGACATCGATGTCTCACCGCTATGAAGCCCGGGAGCGACTTCACCCGAGGTAAGGGTCGCGGCGGAGAGATATCCTTCTTCCGCACTCTGTCGTTCGTCTCAATCCTTAACTTCCCTCGCTCCGAGATGCCTTTGATCGCAGAGAATAAACCCATGATGAGGGCCCGCGGGGGGAGGGGATACGAGGTCATGACATCAACGCCGTTTGCCCCAAAACGTGATCATGATTGTACTGGGCCTGGCCTTCAAAACATTTGCAGGAATGATGAGACTTTGCGAACAGCGAGAAGACGAACCTTTTAACCGGAATATCCCTCGCTGACGCCGCTGAGAAAAGGAATGGATCCGACACATTGATACCTACGTTGACTGGAGGAAAGCACTTGACGCTCATGAGAAGAAACAAAACGGTTCTCACCGAAGTCGGTGAGTTTGATGTGCCCAGACGCGGCCACCAGGACATTCGCCGCCTTCAAATCTCGATACACGTAGCCTGTTCAATGGACCAAGCAACGAGGGTAAGCATGTAGGGGTGGGGGCGGGACAGGGAGGCTCAACAACCTGCAGCTTGCGTCGCACCACGATAAACACGAAGATACCGCTGCTGTACTACGTAGATGCGAGCAATACCGCAAACCTCAGGTGCGAGAGGGAGCTACTGTGTAGCTGCCGACAATGCGACACGCTGCGCCCACGAGCAGCAGCCGGGGCAGTTCGTTAGCCATCCAGGTATCACCCGCCCCGACGTCACCTTTCGAGTGCAGAAACTCCAACCCAAGCGATATCTCCGCGGCGTAGAAACGAGCTTCGTCCTCCGTGAGGTTCCTCTTGACGAAATACCTGCATGGCAAACAACAAAGACGCGACCCCACGCACCAAAAAAAAAACAAGCCAAAAGCATCTTATGTTGAAATCCCGTCGTAAAGGTTACCACATGGTCCGAACGTCTGTCGAGGACGACTCCCCTCAACAACTGAGTCCTTCCACTGCATATCCTGCGACTTGTGAACACGCCTGCTGCTGCTGCTGCTGCCGCGCATGCACGGTACGTACCTCAGAAAGTTGTCCAGCGACCCCCCGGGGCAGTACTCCATTTCGAGGTAGAGATACATCCTGTCCTGGAACGCCGCGAACAGCGGGGCCACGAGGGGGTGGCGGGCATCCACCATGACTTGCCGCTCCATGTGCACCCGCTCCACGTTCTTCTCGTGCTCCGCCTTCAACTGGACCTAATTTGTGCCCGCGTCGGTCGAGGGGTAGATTCGAATAGTTCATTGAATAACAATATCGGCATTGCTGTTGCTCCACCGAGTGCGACTTTTGTCTTGGGCAGCCGTTCGATTTCGTCGGGGACTACAGAGAGTGAGGAACGCAGGCGGTGCCCAACCTTCAAGGGCGCCTAAAACGTGAGGTTCCAACTCTGGAAATAAACAGTGAGGGTATGTATGCATAGTACTTAGAAATAAGAAGTGAGGGTATGCATAGTACTTGAGAACTTACAGCAGCTCTTGCTTGGCCGTTCTTTTTCTCTCTAAGGTGTCGCTATCTTTTCGATTGTTTCGGTGAGTTGGACATAGCGCAAAGCAGCGACCCGTTGTACAAGGTTCAATGAGAGATTAATAATGAAAACGCCAACTCCAACCCTACTTTTCAAACGCATCTGCCTACAAAACCATCGTCAACCGGACCAGCAGACTTGGGGGTCATCCAGCAAAAAACAAGAAACACACCGGAACGGCGGTGGATATGAAGAGAACTGTTTTTTGGAACATGATTGTAGCAAATCATCCTTATCCACAATTGAAACTATTCGATTGACAAACGCTGCAACGCACCGAGGAGCCGAGGAGGCCATTCCTACGTCACGTCTGACACGTGACACATCCCCGCGTCAATTGAGTTGTGTAGATATGTAGATACCAACGTAAATGCCGGCTGTTCTGTTGAGATGAGGCTAGGGGGGGGTCTCGTGAACCTTTCAACACTACCTACAGCTGTGAGTTCGATTTTCACAGCAGTGGAGTGATGAAAAACTCGTGCTGTGACCTGTGCATTCAGCAGTAGATCGAATCGTGAGTACTTTACGCGTACTTCGATTTCACGGTCGAAAAGGGAAAGGGAAAGGGATGGCTGAACCCCTTCGCGATAAAAATACTCAAACAGTAGATAGGGAACAAGGAGGGCTCCCGAGGAAAGGCAGGGTGTGTAACAGTCAAAAACGAATATAGTAAAGAACAACAGCTCCTCCTGTGTGACCCCGGCTGATACAGCAGTAGATATCACATGCAAAAAAACACCATAATCAAAGTGTGTTGTTGCAGACTGGCTCCACAAAAGATCAGTATATAGACGATCAGAAGCACACATCGACCCTATTTCTATACGAAGCAGCGCTTCCAACTTCTTCTTTATTGGAGGAAAGCTAACGTACTTCCCGAGCGTCGCAAGTGCATGTATAGGTAACCATTAGTCTACAAGAACCGGCTTTACACGAAGTAAAACAGCGGTAGTAGACCTTTCACTACCAGTTGACAGCTGTTTACCCACAATATTATTCCATAGGTCAGCAGCAGGGCTGAACGTGCCACCGGATACAAGAACGTCGGCGCACACCGCTGGTTGTTATTTTTCTCTACACCCTCTGTTTTCATGGCTGTTTTTCAGTAGCATCACCCCCACCGCCGGAGGAGAGGTTTCGGATTTGCACAAGTGTGCGGCGAACTGACGGCAACCCTTTGGAAGAGCGAAAAAAGGGGGAGGGCGCCGGTGATACTTCAAGGGACATATGGAGACAGCAGACGCGCGCTTCATCGATGGCCGCCCCCCCCCCCCCCCCAACGGCGGTTGTGTTCTTCATTTCAGGCAGCAGCAGGGGCGGGGAGCTCGGCCGGGACGTTGCTTGGGGTGTGGAACGAAAACGAATCGAATGGGGACCACAGCCAACTTCCAATAGAGAAGCGGTGTATGAACCCGCTCTTCCCACACAAAAACAAAGAGAAACTCGTCTGGAAACCACCACAAAACCCCACCCTCTCTGTTTTATCGAACATCGAACATGTATATTTTCTGTGTGTGTGCTTGCTGCTGCTGCTGCTGCTGCCGCTGCTGCTGCTGCTCTTCGTACGGGCGGTGTCGTGCTCTTGCCTCACTCACCTTCAAGGCAGACATCCTCCCCGTCAGCTTGCAGCGCACGAGGTACACGTTGGCGTCGCTCCCCTGCCCTATAAAAGCCACAGACTCGAGCTGGCGTTCCCTACACCAACGTTTAGGGCTGCCGTACTCGCATCGCTTCGGGCTACCCCCGGGGCTTCTCCTGCAAACCAGCCTCGGTCCACCATTCCCCCCCCCCGCCGGAGCAGCAACCGCCTCTCCGTCTGAGCTGGCCATCGTCTCCTCGTTGCTGCTGTAGCCCTGCAGGGCGTGTTCGTATGGTATCAAAGCGTTTACAAGCCCGGGCACGCCAGTTTCTCGCTGGCGCGGATTATTTTTGAGAAAGAGCAGCAGAGAGGCGAATCGCTAGAGGTGGCGGTAGCAGCAGCACGCATCAGACTAGCGGCATGCCACACGCGCGCAGGTCGGCTTGTCGCCGTGCTGATCTCTCCTAGCCCCCCACAGCTGGGAAGCTGTGTTGCGTCTTGCTCGGGCGGTGTGAGGTAGGTGGGGGTAAGAGGAGATGAAGGTGGAGAGCAAGCAAAAAGCTGCAAGCCAAGCGGACAAACCTCACCAGTCCGTAGAAAAAAAAAATGTCGCACTCGCGTTGCCCCCACAAGGCCGCCCGCCCGCCGCCCTGCCACGCACGACGACAAAGCAAAGACTTTTGTATGATTTCGAGAAATTGTTGAGGGCCTGTTTTGAACACTAGACGCACCGAGAGAGGTGCACGCGGTCGATATCATGCGATCAGAGCGTCTACCCATCAGGTGCACCTCCAATGCGCGCGCTACTCTGCTGTATTCTAAAGAGCGCAGTTAGGTTTGGTCACGACGAAACATGAAAAAAAGATCTTGTAACCGCCATGAATCGGTCGTCTCGATGCACAGAGCTTGTTGTAGAGGTGCAGACTATTATTCGTCTAGCTACGCACACACACACGAGCCACTCCGCACGCCCACGCCCACGAGTCAAAGGACAAGGAGCAAACCAAAACGGGTAGCCTTTCTGTGAGGTTATGTTTACTTTCTAAAAACAAGAGCTATATCTCCGGAGCTTTATACCGGACATTCGTATCCGCGATCCATACAAATATATATATATACTGCACGTGTCACATGAAGATATTAAGCGGTTTGTGAAATAGATGTGCATGAAGAGACGGTCCGCTCGGAATAACGACTAATAGCATCCATAGCCTAGACTACATATTAGGTACATCCACACCAGCGAACGACGAGGGGCTCCAATCAAAGCCTTGCGTAGGCCTCGGCTCACAAGCTTTAGCTTTCTTCCACGTAGACAACAAAGAGTAATTTATTTACCTCTCTCTCTCTTTGGACTTGTACTTTGTTTCTTGGGCAATCAATGCTGATGATGGGTAAGAAGAGAAGATCCCCCACCCAGTGTCTCATGTGACTGCGCCGAGATTCAAACTAAACTCGGTGTTTGTTTCCCAAAAAACTGAACAGGGCGATCCAATATTATTCCCATTTAGTCAGTCGTCGTGCGCTCTCGGGTTGATTTTACGATTTTACTGCTTGATGTATACGCCAAACCATCTCTCTCTCTCTCTCTCTCTCTCTCTCTCTCTCTCTCTCCACAAAAAAACATGCTACACAAGCAAACCAAGCCTATAGACCCGTCGGTAAATAACACAAGGTGCGTCAACTACCTACTACTCTACCTCGACAGCGCGCTGCTTCCATACGTCCTGTAGAGAAGCACAACAACAATGCCTCGGGTACGCCGTACACACCGCACCCACATCATCATCACCACCTATACTACAATTGTATCGCTTCGACGATTTTTGGTCCCAATCGAGCTCCGGTGCCCCAAAACAGCTTCCCACACACCGGATTATTAATACCCAACCAATCCGTTCCTCTGGATCGGGATGGCTCTTCTTCTCCCCCCCATACAAAAAAAATGTTACCAACATTCCAGGAAAACAGTAGTATGTTAAGGAGGACCCGATTCGCAGGGTATCCGTCGATTGACTTTTACCAGAATCGGTACACCTTCGCAAGTAGTAGTAGTAGTACCCAAGACCGGTCTACCGTCAATTCATCAACAAGCAAGCAAATCACGCGCATACTCGTGGCAGCCACCCTCTCTACGTACGGTACGATATTATTACGCCTTGCTCCGCAATGCTAGCATCAGCCCCACTCACTCGAGCAATCTCGTTGGGTTGTTCCTCTTTCTGGTACGTCTTGCGCCGATGCGAAAAGACATGTATGTATGTATGTATGTATGTATGTATGTATGTCATCTTGACACAAGACTCGGGAAAAACGAAGATATCCATTCGTCCCACTCCTCGTGTACCTTACTTGTAAGCCAACCAACGGGGCCAACAACTATCTATCCGTCCAGCATGTCGTATTTCTCTATCTCAGAGCTGCACTCAAAGGCTCTCACTCGGGACATCACGCAAAAACAATAGCACCCAATGAAGGAGGAGGAAGTGGCCATGGGGTAAAACGCCTCCGCAATAGATAGATACAAAACGGGCCTTTTTAATTTTATGTACGGTAGTACAACGCATAAAAAAGGATGAATGAAGGGGATTTTTTCTTATGACGATGCGTGGGGAACCATATTGCAATCTACCTTCTACACTATTTACACCCACCGCTACCTGGTCTACTTCTTCCTCGCCGAGAGGTATACACACGACGACGCGACGAACACAACATCGCACACATTTCGTGCGCACCTGAGATCTACAAAACAAACGCCACCAAGCAAGGAGACCGAATCATCTATTTTGTACAGAACACACAAGAGCTCAAAACCCCAACGACTCATTGCCTGTTTTCCCTCGACGATTTCCTGCAGCTTGCCCCCGGTGACAACGAGCACGCGCACTACTCAAAATATGAACAGTAGATAGATGTACTACATGCAGACAGACTTAGCATGTAAAGGCATACATACATGTACAACACGTTTGTAGACGATGCATCGGGTCAAATCATTCCTAGCATTCAAGGTGCACTCTCGCTACACGAGAAACTTGAAGAAACGGAGACACTTGAAATCCAGACTCACCTCCTCCACCGCACACAGCAATGTCTACCTCAACACATTTCGAGACCCGCCTGCCTCTCTTTCAATCACAAGGAAGGATAGAAAAAGAAAAAGCTAGCATCGCCACGGGACCAATAGCCCACACACCTTTGTAAAACGAAGAAGAAGAGAGTGACGCTACTTTTCTTTGCGCCACGTCTCTTCTGTGTGGAGTACACTAGCTGTGGGACTGAAATTATCAATAAACCCATTTTGTGTACACTTTCCACAATCTCCCCCCCTCCCGTCCCCCCCCCCCCTCACAACACGCGGCGAGATGTGAACGTGTCACAGCAATCACAACTACGGAGGTTGTTTTTCTTGTTTGCTCCTCTTCTGCTAGAATGTCCACAACATGGCCAGTGTAATTTTTTACCCGGGTGCGATTCCATCCAATCGAACACCTGACCAAAAAAATTATCCACAATTTGGCTAGGGCTAATACATTTCAGGGTGTGAATCCATCCAATCGAACGCCTGTTCCATCGAAAACCTTCGGCCGGGAACAGGGTGCAAGACACCGTCTAGTAGACCCCGCAGCGCCTGTGGTAGCGATAGCCCATACACCTCCCTAAAAACGCAAAAGAGGACGAGAACAGACATACATACGCGTAGAGGGAGAAAGAGAGATAGATATGAACAGGACTCAACCGCGGGTACTCATCAAACATGTAGAGAAATTTTCCTTGCAGAGTACGTTAGCCACAACGACACGTTTGGTTACCCCAAACTGGTGCTACGACAACGTCTCGTCATCTCCACTTGCAAAGCGTCGGCGGGGAGGTTTTTCAGGGTAAAATTCAATCTTCAACACACGTACCGGTTCAAGGCAGCATGACCAAAACAAAATGCGATATATGTATATGTATCTCACCAGTACGCCCACAACCGCCCCTGCACGCCGCCGTTCCGGGTGCCCCCCTGCAGCAGGCCGAACATGTCGCCGCCCACGGCGTGCTGGAAGACGTTCAGGGCCGGAAGGCTCGATGCGTCCGCCTCTCCGACGTCCTTGCACGGGGCCTCCGTCGCCAGGCGGGCGAGAATGGCGTGGTACGAGACGAGGACGAACAACGTGACGCCCGCGCTGAAGACGTCGCTGGCGAACAGGGTCTCCGTGGTCTCGTCTCTCTGAGGCACGCCGCTTGCGCAGTCGTCCCTCCCGCCACCGCCGCCGCGGCCGCCGCCTTCGTCTTGGTCTTCGCCGGCGTCATCTTCGCCGTTATCGCCGGCCACCACCGTTTCTCCCGCCATTTTCTCGCGCGCGCGGGCGGCCGTGGGGCTGCCGCAGGCCTGCCAACGCTCGGGGGCTTGGTAGCAGGTCGTGGGGTCGCCCGCGAGGTCCGCCGGGGTTACCGATGGCGCGTGCTTGGCGAAGCCGAAGTCGCACAGGCGGGCAAACCCGCCGGCGTCGTCGAGGAGGATATTCTCCGGCTGAAATACGAAAACGAGGCCCGTCATGCGTAAGGGTGGAAAAATGATAGACCGGCGGGGAACAAAAAACCGCGCTCATGCGTACGCACACGTGCAGAAAATTATGATGGCGGTTAAGGGACGGAGTAGCTGAACTCCACTTCAACCACAGGTGCTGAGGTGTTTTTTGTCTGCTCCGGCGCACGTGCATCCATAAAAGGTGTGCAAGTCATCCAACAAGACGCATCTGGGTAAAACGCCGAGCAGGAAGACAACACCCAGTGACACAGCATCCACGCGCTTGTTGGTCTTCCTTTTTACCTCTAGCCGAACAGACAGTCAAGCAGACACGACATGGTTTACACGGAGAGGCGGGACCCAAAAGTATTTTCAAAGGCTGTGGTACACAAGCAATATACCATTACATGGCAAACCATATTTCGGAAGAAAGAATCTTCCAAGACCATCTGTTTTAGCAAGCCTGCCCACGCCACTCACTCGCACCTTGACGTCCCTGTGAACGATTTTTCTTCTGTGTAGAGCCCTCAGCCCCCGCAAGACCTGCCGAAACAGCCTCGCGCCGTCGGCGGCGGGTATCCCGCCACCGGCCTCTCGCACCAGAGAGTGGGCGTCCCCGCCGTCCGCCCACTCGAACACGATGACCGTTGCCCGAAAGATCGAGGGCGAAAGACCGGCTGCCACCCGACCGCCGCCGCCGCCACCGCCGCCACTGCCTTCGTTGGGGTTGCGTTCTTCGAAGATGGGCGCGTCAACGAGGACGTCGTGGAGCCTCACGAGGTGGCAGAGGTCTACGTTGTCGCGCCGGTCGATGCAGTGGGAATAGAGGCCATGGTACAGCCTCAGGCACGTGATGAGCTCCATGTTCGTCCGCGTCGTCGCGGCGTGGTCGTCCGATTTGTGGAAAAACTTGACGGCAACCTGCGATTGGTCCGAGTTCAACGTGGCGTGTCGCACGTACGTATGGGGTGGATGAAGTAGAGATATGGCGAGGTCGGCCGAAGAACATGAAGTCAACAGCTAGGGAAGGAGAGGGGGGGGGAGGTGTTTCGTTGGAAGGAGAATGTTCGCATCATAGTCGGTGCTCCTTGGTGTGCTGACGAAGCTAGCAGAAACAGCCCGCGTGGCGGATTCTCTGCGGGCCTCATAGCTGCCAAGAGGAAATAATATCAAACTAAGCTAAAGTCAACGCCTAGCGTGGTATGATACAACGCCGGTGGGGCACGAAAACGTTTAGCGGAAGCATACTATACGCTGCTCTACAGGAATAACTTCCGGTCGCTGATGTCCCCCTAGCGCGCCCCGTGCGGTTTAAAAAAGTATTAATGTATCTTGCCGATCTGGGTACATACATTACTCCGCCGACTTGCGCGAGATACACGACTCGAACGGGAGCTTGGGAGCAAAAATTGGGGCATATGTACCTTGCTGCCGTCGAGCATGTCCAAACCCTCGAAAATGAAGCCCACACCCCCCTGTGCTTGACCTTTGCAGTCCGCGACGCAACGGTACCGCTCGGAGATGCGAAAATCGCTCCCGCGAAGGACATCGCACGGCAAGGGCATAGATAAATCGTTGGGGAAACACCCCGCCGATTTCAGGATTGCCTGGTGACTGTAAAACAGCTCGGTCGTCGTTAGCAACAGGGACCCAACAGCGCCGTCCTCGATGTTGACGACGAACACTTGTGGGGGCTGAAAGCGGGTGAGATCGCCGTCGATCTCAAGGCGGAGCTGCAGCATGCCAAGCTTTTCCTGCATCCAGGATTGTGGGCTGAAAGAAAGGGGGGAAGCGGGCGACAGATTTTTTTACGCGAAGGATACAATCGAGCGACGCGGGTTCGAACATTTTGTGTGAGAAGAGTCAGTGCGCATCGCAACGGCTTGTTGCGTGGATCATGACCAACGGAAACAACTTACTGCCTTGGTGCTAATATAACACCCACAAACAAGTCAGAGGCGCTCGTTGGCGCTCACCTCGCTCTTGCGAAGGCTTCATCAGCGTCGTCGCGATCGTTTGCAACAACGGTACTTCCCGGCTTTGCCCAACGCTCGTCAAACGCCGGTACCATCTTGATTCTTGAATCCTCGCCCTGCTGTTCAGGCCTTGCGGACGTTTATTTTCTGCCGATCCTGAGCGTGCAAGCAAATACTGTACACCGCATGCAGCGTCGTCCTTGCCAGTTGAAGGGGACACCAGGGTCGGATTGGTCGTTGGGGGCCTGATGATCCTTTGCTGTGGTTGTCTCGGCCCTGATTATTGCCGGGCGTCAAAAGTCGTGAGAAAATTGCCGACGAAAAACACAGCAGGATGTCACACTACGGAGGAATCGATGTGAATGGATCCACTTGGAAGTTGTGCCGCGGTTTTGTCCTCTTGATATGATGGGCACTGTAGTAGTCGCACCTGCGCGTGGGAGATGTGCAGGAAGGTCGGAGGTGTGTGTGTGCTCGATGGTGCGCGCATACTATAAGTAGCGGCCCCGCGGTGTGTGCGAACATTCATGATTTCTACGTTAGTTTGTTGGGATCAGCCCGTTGGTTGACACTTTCTGTGGGCGACACCCGATCCAACAGCTCGATTCAACGTCAAACTTGTAACCACCAGATAGACAACCAGGTGTGACTTTATATCGCTCAATCATCCTATCCTCCCGTCCAAATTTTTTCATCCGCAGATTCTTTTCTGCACCAAACTGATGATGTTCGTTCTGAGCTTTCGCGTGCCAAGAACTGGCTCCTTCAGATGATGATTGATTGTTGTTGTTGTTGTTGTTGTTGTTGTTGTTGTCTTCAAATTATAAACTTGTTGTAATTGTGTCGTCAGTTGCTAAATAATCCCAAAATCTAGCAAAGACGCGGTCCGTGGTCACAAAATGCTAGAGCCATCAGAAGATCTAAAGAACACGCAAACTAGCAAGAAAAGGGTACAAGCCCGAAGAGGTACACCTACCTGTACATCCCTGCAGCACGTTTGCGTGCCCAAACTGAACTACCCGTCCACACACACACTACATTCGACCACTACAGCAGCATCATCCCCCCTGTCCCACACTTTATTACCAAAAAAATGAATGTTTGTCGACTACAGCGTACAGCTGTCTGGTGGAGTGCTGCCAGTACAATAACACCATGGTAGGCATGGCACAACAAGTTCGGGGCGCGCAACTGCTGTCTGACGTGCTGTCAGAATGCGTCCGTGGACATACAGTGAAAAAGAACACCCAACCAAAGCCATGATTGCAATTGACAATCACCGAATCTACCCCCGGATCATCTATCTGTGTTGGAGACAGCAGTGAGTGATAATAATATAATAATGAATATAATAATCGACACTGACAGGAATCGTTCCACATTGAAGGGAGGGGTCTTCCACGATGCAGTTACACAACAAAGGCACCCGGGGTATCCGCGCCATCTCTGCCGCGTCTCTCTACAAAACCAGTGACGACGTCGTTACACACACCCAACACCGATGTTCAGGAAAAAAACGGAAAATATTTGACAACACAAATTGTTCGTCCGTGCGTCACGGTTCCATGTCGTCCGTGTGCTCCGGACCGCTGCGGCCAGTCCTAGCACGACCAAACTCGACCCGCCCCGTCCGTACACGCCCCCCTCGTTGCTGTCCTTCCCAGTCGGTTCCTCGCTTTCTCCCTCGTTGCACTTAGGGTGCTTGGTCTGAAATTTTTCGCGCCGAAGGGTCAACCAGCCCACTCAGCTCGTCACCTAAAAAAAGTTTTCGTGTTAAAAAATTCAATATCACCTGTGTTCCCTCCTCCCCTTTGATGGCGAAGCAAGGTTACTGAGACAGTACAGCTCCCTCTCGCAAACCGAGGGCCGTGCACATAGTGTCCGTCCACCTTTCTGATGGCGTCTGCCTCCGCGCACCAAACTGAGATGGACATTGCTGTCTACACCGACGGCCATGAGGCCCGCGCATCTGCATCTATTTATTTTTGTACCTGACGCACCAACCACCAGTGTGCCGACCCAACTCTACCACACACTACGCACGCCTCGCGGCGGGTGCCGTAGCAAGAAGGTAGGTCCTTTGAGGGTGAGTCTAGCCATGCTCGCTAGAAAGACCCCCCCCCTCGCTTTGGGCCGTGCCTAAGCAAAAGCCTTGCCGAGGCAGCGTGGGGAAGAAGGGAGATGCCAACCACCGTATGTTGTATGTATTCCCTCCTCCACCCTGTCACCCCGAAATAATTTTAGGTCTGCACAACAACCGGGGAGCATGGACCACGCAACATTGTTACCTGTGATTGGTTCAAAACACGCACGCACGATTCTGGACACCGCTGAACCCGTGGTTCTCGCGATGGTCTCGCATACAGCGCATCGTATGCGTACAGCCTCTCCAACCGTTGAAGATATAGCCTATTGTTCAAGTGTCTGTTTTACGAAGCAAAAGGTGTAGCCAGCAGGGATATTCGAACAACAAACGGCTGTCGTATCTGCCGGAAACCGTGCTGGGTCCAATATGTTGTATGGTGATCATGTATGTCCGAAAAAAGGCTGGTTGTACATTATTATTTACTGAAAAAAACCTGTGGTGTATTAATTAGTGGTCACCATGCGCGCAGGAAACTGCCCTGATACTCGAACCCTCGTCTCCCAAGACCAAGCGCAGAGCGTCTACCGCGTCTCGTACGAAAGCAAGGCGTTATGTTTCAGATATCCGTCCTCCTGTGGTAGAGCCAGTTTGCTGAAACAAAAAAAAAAGCTGAAACGCCTGCCGCCCGTCGTCTAGCAGGCGCGTACCATTATTAGGCGCGGAGACGTTGCAACACTAAAGAGAGAGAACAAGATTGAAGGCCCCCGTCCCTTTTATTCCTGGTTAACCCTTCAATGAATGGTAGAACAAACCCCTCTTTGTTAGCTTGGCGCGCACCTTCATGATGAACTGAAGGCAGTAGGCGATCGACAGGATGTATGTGACGGTACACACAGAGAGAGACAGACACATCTCTCCGCTCAGAGAGCAGCAGTATCTATCTCGCCGATAAGCTACAAAATAAATTAATCGCACCAGCTCGTCCCGTTGTACAGAGTAATTATGTGCATACATGTGGTGCTACTGCCGCGTTCACCGGGCGCCTTTTCGGCTTCTTCAGTTGCAGGCACACAGCAGAGGTCCTGCCAGTATTGATAATACTCTTCTTCTTCTTTCTTCTGTGAGTTTTGCCATCTGGGATTTCTCTTCGCCAACAACGTCACATAAAAGAAGAAGTCACTCTCGCTCGGTGCGTCTGTTATTTGAGAAATCTACGCGTCAAGTGAGACGGTTGAATTCTTCTTCTCGCGCTGACCGGTCGCTGACTGCCCGAAAAGGGGTTATTACGGTATATCCATTATCTTCCAAAAAATATACACGCATATCGATCTCGTGACAGTTTCGTCAGAAAACAACCCTCGGGAACTCCATATGACCCCC